AGGCAAGGATTCTGAGGCTTCATCTGACATACTTTGGGCATGTTGCAAGAAGGGATGGATCAGTCCTTTGAGAGGGACATCATGTTTGGAAGGGTGGAGGGATAGAGAAAGAGAGGGAGACCATCAATGAGACAGATTGGTAACAGTGACTGAGGTAATAAGGGTAGATGTGTTAGAGACAGTGAAGTTGACACAGGATAGAGCAGTTTTCAAGGCTGTTGTACACAGGGTCATTATGAGTTGCAAGTGACTCGACGGCACATAATAACAACAACTACAACAAATTTAACTTAAAATGTTATTGTTGTGTACCATAGAGTTGGAACTGACCTATAGCTGTGGATGAAAGAGAACAAAACTATCACGTCTTTCCACATTAGACCAAAATTGGTTGTGATATTCGGAAGCTTCTCTATAAATTTCTCTGGATCTTGGGGAAAACTTCCTAGTTTGTTTTTACAACTCTTTAAATCTCTCATATTATTAAAGGAGACATGGACTCTTGTGTTTCCATTGGGCCTCCCTACATCTTGCAGGGGGTATATAGTTGTTGTTGTTTACTACTGAGTTGCAACTGACTCATAGCTGTCCCTCTAGCAGGTTTTCAAGTTGGGATCAACTCACACCTTACACATTAGCTAGTTTACAGAGGCTATAAATGGAAGATTGCTGATCTTTCTTCTGTGGAGTAGCTGGTACATTCCAGCCACCTATTTTGGGGTTGGCTGCACAAGTCCTTATCCACTAGACCACAAAAATTTCCTTAAAACCAAGTCCAAGCTACTTTGAAGGAATGGGCAAAAAAAAGGTCTCAGGGATTGAAGGAATGCCAGTTGAAATATTTTAACAAAAAGATGCTGCCCAGGAGGACATGCTCCCCAGGTTGTGCCAAGAAATCTGGAGGACCACCACTACCTGGCCAGCTGTTGGAAGAGATCCATATTATTTCCCATTAAAAAAAAAAGTGATCCAACTGAATGTGGAAATTCTTGAACAACATCACATGCAAGCAGAATCCTGCTGAAAATTATCCCAAAATGATTGGAAGTACATTAACAGGTAACTACCAGAAATATAAGTTAGGTTAAGTGAATGTGGCAATAAGAACATCATAGTGAATGTCAGATGGAGCTTAGCTGAAAGCAGAGAGCACCAGAGGAATGTCTATCTGTGTTTCAATGACGATGCAAATGCATTTAACTATGGAGTCACAACTAACTGTGGCTAACTTTGAGGAGAAAGGGAATCCCAGAACATTTAATTATGCTTATGCAAAACCTATACTTGGACCAGAAAGCAGTCATCAAAATAGAGCAAAGAAACACTTCATGATTCAAAGTCAGGAAAGGAGAGTGTCAGAAATGACACACAGAAATGTATCCATTCCTTTTCAATCTATATGTGGAACAGATCATTCAGGAGGTTGGAGTTCATGAGGAGGAAATGTGGCATCAGTACTGGAGAAAGAATCATCAATAATCTACATTTTTGCAAATGACACACCTTACTTGCTGAATCTGAGAAGGGCCTGAAGTATTTGCTGCAGAAGGTCAATGACTTTAGTCATCAATATGAATTGAAGCTCAACATCAAGTAGACAAAGATTCTCACCATTGGGCCAATTGGCAGCACCATGATAGGTGGAGAAGAAATTGAGGCTGTTATCAATTTCCGTTTCCTCGGCTCCACAATCAACACTGTTGGTACCAGCAGTTGGGAAATCAAAAGATTAATTACATTGGGGAAATATGCCATCATTAATAATGTTGTTGCTGTTGTTGTTTTGTGCTGTCAAGTCACCTGCAACTCATAGCAACCCTATGTAAAACATCCCTAAACCCTGCTCTATCCTGTGCCAATCTTATTGTCTCTGACACACCTACCTCCATTACCACAGTGACTGAATCAATCCATCTTATTGCGAGTCTTGTCTCTTTTTTTTTTTTTTTTGAAGGCCACTGACTTTATTGATTTACAAAACTTTACAAGAATAGTAACTATTGTGCCAAAAAGGAGCCAAATGGCATAAAAATAGACTGAAGGTGAAGGGCAAAGAGTGAGGGAAGGGGCCTAGAACCCACTCTGGAAGCTTGGAACATTGTTTCCATGGCCAGGAGTGGAGAAGGGGAACCCGTGCAAGAGAGGGGAACTCGAAAAAAAGTTAAAACGGTGAGGGGAGAAGACTCCTAAAAAGCCTTGGAGGTGAGCATGACCACAGCAATTTCCGTCAATCTCCTTCGTAGAGGACGGAAGGGGAGCCTCAGGGCTGGGGTCTGGGGGCTCCCGGCGTAGCCTCACAAGAAGGCATCGCACCACTCGCGAAGGCACCCGAAGCAGTCCCGGGACTGCTTGGCGTTGGCACCGCATGTGTCCTTGAGCCATTCCCGGAAGAGGTCTTCATCTTTCTTTAGCACCAGAAACTGCCCAAGGACCACATATGCCTTGTCAAAGCCCCTCTCCTCCAGCTTCTTGCCCAGGACTTCACCGATGCCGGCCAGGCTCCCCACAGGCTTCTCCCCTATGAGCTCCGCCACGAAGTCCCGGTGCTTTTGGGAGGTTGTCATCTTGATCAGGCTTAATCAGCAGCTCTCTCCTAACGGTTCCTCCCGCCAGCCGGCTGCTCCCGCCGCTACCTCAATCGCTAGAACTTTCTTCTCGAGTCTTGTCTCTTACATTGTCCCTCCACTCTCCTAAGAATGACATCCCTATCTAAGGACTGAGCCTTCCTTGCAACATGTCCAAATTATGCCAGATGAAGCTTCAGAATCCTTGCCTCCAAGCAGCTACCTGGTCTCACGCACCCTCTGTAGATTGAACCTGTTTGTTCTCCTAGAAGTCCATGGTATATTCAATACTCTTCTCCAGCACCACAGCTCAAAGGCATCAGTTCTCCTTCTATCATCCCTAGTCATTGTCCATTGATGCATACCAAGTGATTGCAAAGACTATGGCCTAGATAAGGTGCACCTTAGTCTGCAGACTGACATCATTGCACTTCAGTATTTTGGAGAGGTCTTTGACAGCAGACTTTCACAATGCAATCTTTTAATTTCCTGGCTGCTGGTACCAAGAGTGTTGATTGTGGATCCAAGCAAACTAAAGTTGTTAATAATCTCAATTTCTTCACCATCTATCATGATGCTACGAATTTTCCCAGTGGTAAGAATCTTTGTTTTCTTGATGTTGAGCTTCAAACCATATTGACAGAAGTAGTCCTTGACCTTCTGCAGCAAGGGCTTCAGGTCCCCTTCAGTTTCAGCAAACTGACATTATTGCACATCAGTACTCTGGAAAGGTCCTTGACAGCAGATTTTCCCAGTGCAATTCTTCTTTTTATTTCCTGGCTTCTGGTACCAAGAGTGTTGATTGTGGAGCCAAGCAAGGTGAAAGTGTTAACAATTTCAATCTCTTCATCATCTATCATGATGTTGCCATTTGGCGCAGTGATGAGAACCTTTGTTTTCTTGATGTTGAGCTTCAATCCATATTGAAGTCTACAGTCCTTGACCTTCTGCCGCAAATGCCTCAGGTCCTCCTCAGTTTTGGTAAGCAAGATTGCATCATCTGCATAATGCAGGTTGTTAATGAGTCTTCTTTCAATCTGATGTCACATTCCTCCTCATACAGCCCAGCCTCCCAGATGGTCTGTTCTGTATATAGATTGAAAAGGTATGGAGATAGGATGAATCCGTGGTGTACACCTTTCCTGATTTTGAACCATACAGTGTTTCCTTATTCTTTTCTGACAACTGCCTCCTAGTCCAAGTATAAGTTTTACATAAGCAAAATCAAGTCTGGGATTCACATTCTTCTCACAGTCAGCCACAGTTTTTGTGATCCACACAGTCAAATGCCTTTGCATAGTCAATGAAACATGGTAGACTTTCGTCTGGTACTCTCTGCTAGCACAGATCAACAGTAATGAGTTATATAAAATACAATGTATATGAATGATTGTAAGAACATTTTATAACTGAAAAATTGAGAAAACCATAATGTTCATAAACAAATAAAATAATAACAACAAACAATATACAATGAACAATATACAAATGATTGTATGCAAACCAATAAAAAAGAAAACATTAAAAAGCAAATAGAAACATGCTAGTATCATTTGGTGCAGTATTTACTGTTTATTAACCATGATATGAGAGATTCTTGAGTGTTGCTTAAACCATAGGAAATGCAAAAATATTTCTCTGCCATGAAAAGAAAAATCAGAGATATTTGACAAAATGTGTTCACCTAATTCTCATATTCTTGTGTTTGTACTTGTACTCTCCTTACTCCCTTCTCTGTACTCTTCATACTACCTATTTGCTTTGATTTTTTTCTCTTCTGTGTTCACAGCCTTTTATCCTCTCTACATCATTTGATTTTTTTATTTTCTGTTTTTATATCTTCTCTTTTTTCACCGCCTTTAGCATATTCATTTTTTCCTTTCCTTTTTTGTTTTTCTTATAAAGCATGAAGAAGAAATATAAAAATAAAATAAAAAAATAATCAAAAATAGTAACAACAGATAAAAAAAAATTGCCGTCTCTTTTTGAGGAGGTGGGCCACTCTCATAACTGCCTCCAGGACCTTTAAACAAACAGCAAGGAGGCGCCCACCCATGATAACAATGACAGTGATATTTATTGCTACAGATGCCTTTCTTGTTGCAGGCCACAGGATGACAATCCTGTGACAAAGTCGAAGGAACACATTCATACTGAATGCGTATTTGCTCTGAATCACTGTGCCATCCTTCACAAGACCAGTATCAGGTAAGGACAACCCCGCGTGATCGTCAGTGCCCCAGCAAGTGGTGCCATTGAACTGCATCTGATGCACTATAGAATGTTGATGAAGACTGGGAAGTACACTCACATTTTCACACTAAATTCTTCCACACAGGATATCAGAAATGTTATGTTTTATGTATCCTTTGTCTTTGACACCACAGTGACCAAAACGATTTCCTTGAGTGTTGCCATCACTGTAACAGCTCTGAGATGCACTTTTTGCTTCTTGGCCAAAAATTTCTTTACACTGTGTATCATGGCTGGTGCATCTCTTTTCATAGCAGTAGGCACTGTCATTACAGGGGATCCCATTCATCACATAAACCTCTTCAGGACATTGATGATAAGTTCCATTGCACCACTCCGGAAGATCACATTCATTGGTCTGTGGTCTACACAAACACCCTGAGTGAAGGAGACTGCCATCTTTACAACACAGCCCAAAAGCACAAGCAGCCCCTGGACTTAGAGTACAGTTTGGAAGACAACAAGGGTCCCTAGCACACTTATATATGTTTCCACAGTCACATTCTTCTCCTTCTCCAACCAACTGGTTTCCACAAATACTCAGCCTAAAAGTCTTCTCTGGTAGAGGAGGATAACAAACACATTCACCTATTGTGTAAGTCCAGTTCCAAAATGTGATATAGCTGCAAATACTAAATATTGTTGATCTCTTTATTTCAGGATACATTAGGCAATATTGGCTCTCACAAGCACACCGATGATCATCGTGACCCATGCCTAAATTATGACCAAGCTTATGTGCTACCATAAGTGACATGTCAAACAACAATTTTCCTTAAAAACTTATGACTGCAAGTTTTTGTGCATCTACCTCCTTGGCAGACAGTATCATAAAGTGTATTAAATGATTCATTTATAAAAAGATGTGTAACATCACTTGATATTTGCTTATTAATGTTACTATATCTCCAGAGTCTAAATTGATTCAGAGCCTTATAAACATCATTTGTTAATGGTGTATTCCCCCTAGTCTATATCTCAATACCAGTCAAAAACACATCAATGTCTAAAGAGTTATATATGGAATCCACAAAATTAACAGCAGCAAATACATCCTGTTGTACCACTGAGATATTTTTAAGTGAATAAAAGAAGTGAGTACAGTCTATCTCCACTGCCATTTCAATAAAATGTTTATGGGTTCACCAGCTTTAAAATCTATGCTTCAATGTGGAATTATATGTCTTTTGCAAACTCCAACTGGAGTGCTATTTCTTCTTCTGGTAAGCCACATCTCATGGGTGGAAACCGTGTCTCATATCTACCTAATATATCAGGTGTTCAAATGTGGCAGAGTGCTTCACGGGTTCAATTTCATATAGGAGACCATTTCTCTTTAGCACCCCTTGAAAGCCCCACAAACAGGTCCTGAGAACAACCAAGGATTCAAAGTCCCCTTCCACATAACCATGAAAGAAGCAGTCATCCTGGGTAAAAGGCTGATTCTCATGGAGGGTATGCTGGTCTGTGTCTGGAAATGTCTGGAAATTAAGATCTTGTTGGCCTTCATGTGGATAATGTGCTTCTGGCTTCCAAATCGCAGACTGTAAGATAGCCAACCAGGAATCCTTGAATCTTTTCCTCTGCGGGTCACCTTCAAAGGCATCACCACTTCTGGAGAGAAGAAATGCTGAGAAGACCTGGCCTGGGAGTGGCCACACACTGACAGAGAAGCTCCAAGCCAGAGTAGCACAGAAATCACCCTGATGTGCATCAAGGCCTTCCTCATTGTCATTGTGGAGATAGTTCTCAAGAACAGGAGAGGGTAGGGTAGGAGACACTGCTGGTCTGGCTCAGTGTGCAGGGCTGAACTGTTATGGATCCATATCCTGGCAGAGTTGAATTATCAGAGCTGCAGTGCTGAAAGTCAAAATAAAAGAGCTAGAATGGTGCTGGTGGGATAAGGAAGACAGGAAATAGAAAGAATGAAGTGAAAATTATTTCTGAACTATGACATGACTTGAAGCTATAAAATACCTTGGATTTTCTTTTGCTTACTTGGGAGGGTGAAAGAGACTGGGGAAATAGATGGAGATTTGTCAAAAGTAAGTAACTATTGAACTTGGATGATTGATAAGTAAGGAATCACTTTACACCCACTCTTTACTTACCAACAGGGCTAGGTTTCACACATCAGACATTTTTGTGAAAATAAACATGCAAACCTGGAGTATAATACATGAGAACATCAAATAGAGGATGACTACATAGTTATGTAACTTTCTAATCACATCTTTACATTAATGTCAGATTGTATCATTACATAACTACTAAATTATAAATTCTTTTACTGCTAAGTCTTATTCTTACATAACTGGCAAAACACTGAGAATATGGCCACGTTAAGTTGCTAAAAAACTTTAGTCAATTAGACCTAGAACCTTAACCATCACAGTTTAAATTATTACCACCTTGTAACTTTCAATTTTTTAAACTGCTAGATGTATGTTATTCATGTACACAACCCAATCTGATACTCAGTTTTTTAGTATTGCCTTAAATTCCATGTACTCAATAACAAGATGGTTAATTAATGTTTGTTGTTGTTGTTATGAACCATCTAGTTGTTTGTGACTTGTAGCAAGAGCCCTAAATGCTGTTCTATCCTGTGCCAACCTTGCTGTCTCAAACACATTCATTCCCACCACTCCACTCACAGAATAGATCCACCTCATCGAGGGTCTTCCTCTCCTGCACTGTCCCTCCACTCTCCCAAACATGATGTCCCTCTCCAAGGACCAGTTCCG